TTATTACAAAATAAAGAGTTTGGATCATCTCTCTCCTCTCTCTCCTCTCTCTCTCTCTCTCTCTCTCTCTCTCTCTCTCTCTCTCTCTCTCTCTCTGTGTGTGTGTGTGGAACCAGGGCTTGAACTCAGACCCCTGCGCTTGCCAGGGAAGCACTTATTCTACTGAGCCATCTCCCCAACCCCCATTTCTCTTTTTTAGTACAGAGTCTTCAGGTCTCACTACACAGATTGGGCTCATAATGATCCTCCTGCTTTCAGCCTTCCAAGCACTGGGATTCTAGATGTGCATCACCACACCCAGTCTCAATCCCCATCTCAGAAAGCACCCTGGGGGACAGGCTGCATGGCACAACGGGAATCAGGTGCTTTAATACCCTGAGCTACCTGGCCAGCCCTGAGTTTGGATCATTTCTAAAGTCTACTTTAAATTAGTTTTGTCTCTGTGCTACTCTATTATTTATAAAGAATAATTTTGAGGTAATTTTACAAGTTAACCCAAAGGAACATAGGCTAGGCTGCTACTCCTGGCTACTCAAAAGGCCGAGGTAGGAATACTTGAGTCTAGGAGTTGAAGACTAGCCTGAGAACAATGCAAGATTCCACCTCAAACACACATGAACACTTGGTATGGGACCGGGGAGATAGCTCAGTAGAATAAGTGCTTGCCTGGCAGGCAAGGGCCTGAGTTCAAACCCTGGTTCTGCAAAAAAACAAAAAACAAAACAAAACAAAAAACCCACAACAAACAAAAAAAAGAGGGCATTGGTAAGCTCTTAATACAATATACATTTTTGGTAAATTTCCTATTACTCCCATATCAACTTGAAATAGAATTATCTCTTGAGAAGTGTCATAATAATTATAATATTTGTTAACACACATATACACAAACAAAGCTCACTGTTGATGTTGGACGCCTCTGTTTTCTCCTCATCTTCAACCATCATGTCTGTCATTGTAAGCAACTCTGTATCAAGAGGATCTGAAGAAACTTTGCTTTTTAATTCTTCAATTGCTGTAGGAATTTTCTCACTGCTGTCCAATGGAGCAGGCAGAAAAACAGGAACAGGCACCTGAATTAACCAAAGCATTAAAGGATAAGTTTACAAAACATTAAAAGGTATTTTTCCATATTAAAATCACTCTGCCCAGAGATGGTGGTGCACACCTGTAATCCCAGCACTGAGGAGGCAGGAAGATCACTGCAAATTCAAGGCCAGCTTGGGCTATGCAATGAATTCAGAGTCAGCCTGAACTACACAGCAAGATCCTGTCTCAACCTCCACCCCCCAATCATTCCGATACATGACTTGATCTACAATGTCATAAGGCTTCTGAAGGAAGAAACAGAAAAGAGGTGAAGCTTTAAAAAGCTTCCTTCAAAAGCTATGTAAAGCACAAACCAAATTAAAATGTCTACTGTGAAAAGACAAACCCAGAAATACAAACAGCTATTATCTAAATACAAATTAAAGGAATACAATTTCTGAGGCATTTCCATCCTCTAAAGGGTTACAGTAGCCAAACTCAGACATAATAATTTAAGTATGAGAAGTTATTTGGGATGAAATGTAGTAATGTAATGCTATTTTAAAATCAAGCTATTGTTTCAACTCCTAAACCTTATGTCACAAATATGTTTTTTTAAAACTTAAAGCACATAGGGCCAGGGATATAGCTCAGCAGCACAGTATCTGCCTAGCAAATGCAAGGTCCTGAGTTTGACTTACAGTACCAAAAAATCGCCCCCCCCCAAACACACACACAATGTACAGAGCAAACTAAAGTATCTGCTATGATTCACTCCCAATGATGAATACACACTCAACTAAACAAAGCATGATCACAACAGGATTCAACCAAATTTAATTGTGGACGAAAGGCAGAAATAATCTTACCAGTTTCAGAGAGCTAATAATAAAAACTACACTGTTTCCCACCTGTGCCTGATAAATCTCAAAATGAAAGCTTTAAGACATAACTTACAGGAACAGGAACTGTAGTCGGAACAGGAATATTCTGACTGTACATGTGCATTGGTACTGGGATGTATACTGGCACAGGGATGGGCACTGGAACATATTCTGTCTTCCAATTATCATCTATAAACACGAGACATGGCAATGTATAATGTTAACTAGCACTTAAATATAGCTACTCAATGTTGAAATAATTTGACAAAGAAACATTTAACTAACTCATTAGCCATTTTAAAAATTCCTGGTTTCTGTAACATTATATAACTTAAATATAACAAAACAAAGCAACAGCTATTTAAACTTAAAACAAATAGAATTTAGGCTCTTAAAATACAGTGTTTGGCCTCAGCCTGACTGTTATTATAGATGTGTACCACCACACCCAGCAAATATTTCTTTTTAAATTTTAGAGAAGGGTCTACAGGGTGTTCTGGGTCTCACTACTAGATGGGACTCATACTGATCCACCTGATTACAGCCTCCCAAGAGCTGGGATTACAGCTGAACGCCACCACACCCAGTCTCAATTGCCACCTCAGCGTGCCCCGGTGGTGGGGCGGGCATTGCGACCCAGGGATTGAATCCCCAGACCCTGTGCCTGCTCTGCAGGTGCTTAATCTGCTGAACTATTTAGCCAGCCCTTAGCTAGCATTTCTTTAACGTAGACCAGTTTTCCTCCAAGGAAGAGTAGAAGGCCCTCTTTTGTTGGGAACAGGTAACTCATCACCTTTTCTGTTCCTTCAAAAAAAAGAAAAAAATACAATGCAGGTCTAGGCTGGGTGTGGTGGCACAGCTGTAATCCTAGCATTTGGAAGTCTGAGACAGGAAGATTGCTTCAAGCTTAAGGTCAGCCTGGGCTACATAGTGAGCCAGTCTCAAAACAAACAAACAAACAAACAAACAAAAAAAGTAAAACAAAATGTAATTCCTGACACCCTACGAGACTGTTCTCACTCCCCTCAAGGAAGCAAAAGTTAAAAAAACAAAACAAACAAACAAAAAACCTGACTCTATAAATCTATTCTGTACTCAAGAAAAGCATTCAGTGAGGTATAATCATAGTGAAAAACCAAAATTTCCTCCAAGTTACCTGTCTGACAAGATTTGGTTTGCATGTGAGGTTTACAGTAAGTAGCTTTTGTCATTGTTAAAGGTTTGCAAAGAACTGCTTTGTTCTTCATCTCTTTGTTGGGAGTTGGAGAAGGGGGTGGTGCTGAGCCCTGTAAAGAAAGAAACATTTTACTCTTGCCTATAGTTCTTATCACTTTCTAGTGTTAATGAGCATTTTGTTTCCTGAATTCTATGGAGGGGCTATCTAAAAGTGGAAGAGTATAAATTATGCTGCTACTAGCTTCACTACAGTGTCAATCTGGGAGAAACAACGTGAATCTATGCTGATCACTGGCAAAGTAGTAGAAAGAATTCCTCCTTCAGCTGTCACCTCAAAAAAGGATAAAATTGGTACATATTTTTAAAAACATAAAAAGATAATTCTCTTTTAAGTGTAAAATCAAGGCTGAAAACTCCTATTTGGCTCTTTTAAATTTATTTAAAAGAAAAGTTCTTGCAGTTATTATGCCTGATATTCTAGCTCCCTCTGCTGGATAAGCATCTTAAAAATACGCTACTAAATTTAAAAGGATAAAAAATTATAAAGAATTATCACAGATAGTGCCAAATTTAAAGTTACTTTCTGGGATCCAGCAACTGCCATTTTAGAAACCGCACTCAATTACAAATTAACTAACATTGTCAATATGACACAAATACAGATGTGAGTTATTTTAGAGATAATCTAAATAATCTCTCATGTTTTATACCAGCTTCACTACTGTGTTATCTGCACTACAGACAAATCAAATCCTCATATAAGTAAGATCTGAATAGAGGTAAATATCTGCCTACATGGGGATAAAGGTACAGTACTCTCAATATAATACTAACAAGAAAAAAGTAGATACAGAACACTAATGTAGTCAACTCTTATTATTTGGGATACACATGTTTTATATAGCTGTTCCGAACACTGGATCAGTAAGTATCAAACAACTGCTGCAAGGAAGAACACAGTAAAAAACTATTTCACTAACGGCTCAGTATATAACCCTAAAGACAGTTTAATATTCCTTACAAAAAGTATATGCAAAAAAAAAGTATACGCAGTATTTCTTTATCACATGACAATGTTTCAATCACAACATCTGTACTTCATGCACTTTGCTGAGACTATCACTTTCAGCTGTAATACACACAGTACAGACAAGACATAACCATACTATATATACACAGCATATAGCACTACTGCACATGCAGACTACAGTTACATATTGTAAACAATACCTGAAATATACTGTTCATTGTAGAGTAATGTAACGTTAAGACAACAGAATGAATATATATTGTACAGTAATAAAAAGTTCTGGAAAACCATATTAGACAAAGATTAAGAATTTAAAGTTTCTTTTCTTTTTTTTTTGCGGAACCAAGGATTGAACTCAGGCTCTTGCACTTGCCAGGGAAGCGCTTACTCTGCTGAGCCATCTCCCTGGCCCCAAGAATTTAAAGTTTCATAAAAGATATTAAAATGCTACAGTGGGTGAAGTTACAGGATCTACGATGTGACAATGTAAACTTCTAACTGTGGCACATTCAGAGAAAACTATAGTAGTTAGTGAGACTAGGTTTTGTGGCTTGCTGGCAATGTCAAGAAACTTTTCCTTAACAACTAGCTCAAAAATGTGTGTCAGCTTTGCCTCAACTCTTTTTTTTTCTCAACTCTTTTAAACACTTCTTAATATAAGGCATATACGGCATATACATAGGGATGCTTAAGTCTGAGGCTGTGCTAAAGGACAGGTTCACATTTTTAAACTGCTGTTGACAGAAGAACCTTTTTTCCAAGATAGAATTCTAGTTCAACACCATCTTCATGTTGCCAAAGCCTTCTCTACTTACTTGGTATGCAATACACACTGTTTTCTTAAACACTGTTCTTTATATTTTCTGTAACATCTTCAAAGCCTTTGAAATTTTTCAGTCTGCATAGACATTTCCCCAACAGTTAATGAACAGTAAACTATTGACATCTCAGGCTATGTCAACACCATCAATAAGTTGTGTAGAGTAAGTGACATCAATGGGCCGTCACAGTGATGTATTAGCATCATGTGTGTACCTGATTAAGGGTCGGATGAGAGACATGGTATGGGTGGGAATGAAAAGACCTACAAAGGGTAGATACTTTTAGTTTTTTAGAGCAACAACACTTTGAAGGCAAAGCTTTCATTGTTTACCTTCTAGAATAAAATTGCAATGAAACTTATTTTAGATACCACCTATGCTTTTTTGTCCTACTTTCAACAGAATGACACACAGCTTAGGTCTTTTTGTAAACTAGGGTTCAGCATCTAAGGTCGTTCTTGGCATTTGTATACAAAGCCAAGGCTGCACAAAAAATGATTTAAAATTAGGGATTTTAAGGACTAACTGCTGGTTTGCCAACACCCTTGTAAGAATAAGCAAGTATGATTAGCACTGAAAACTTAGTTCCTGTGCTGGGGATATGGTTCAATAGTAGCATAAGTGCCTGTCTGGTAAACATGAGTCTCTTAAGTCTGATTCCCAGTTCCAAAACTTCCCCAGAAAACAAACAACAACAACAACAACAACAACAACAAAAAACTAGTTCTTTCTCTTGTATAACACACTTCTATAGAGTCCCAATCTATACAACCTATCTCCTTACCTCCACTTAACTTTTTGGGGAGTGGGAGTTAAATTAGGGTTTCACTATGTAGTTCAGCCTGGCTTTACACTCATCCTGTAGCCCAAACTGGCCTGAATTTGCAGCAATCCTTTTGTCTTAATCTATTGCTGGGATTACAGGTGTGTTGCACTATGTCTGACTTCCTCCTCTTAACTTTTCCATCTCATATCCTCTAAAATGTGCAAGTCATCCAGAACTAGTTAAAAAGGGTTTTCTTGTTTCCTGATTAATGTACTGTGAGCCAAAAGCCTTATTACAATGTTGTTTTATATTTTTATAGGTAAGTCATAATACCTTGAATCCAAAAATTTAGTTACTATACCTGTTACTTCAATTATTACAGAGGTCTTCATGTACAGAAAACTTCCTTTTTCTCTAGTTTTATTTAATTTATCCATACTGAATTCACACTAACAGAATTTTATATGTATGCTTAAATGATATTTTTCTAAACTCTTTTATTTTCTCAGTAAGGTACATCACACCTGTCATACTCAGGGACCCTAGACAGCATTTCAGGACCATACTTAATAGATCACTATAAATAGTAAAATCTTCAAAATATAAAAACTATGATGCTGGGCTGGGGAGACAGCTCAGTGGTCTAAGCACCTGTCTGGCAAGCACAAGGACCTGGGTTTGATCCCTGGTATTGCATGCATGTCAGCCCAACCCCAGGCCTCCAGAGCCAGCCACCAAAACTAGGTATGGTGGTATACACCTTCAATCCCAGTGCCAGGGAGGCTAAAACAGGAGGATCACTATGAGTCCAAGCTGTGTGGCTAGACCCTGTACCAAAGACATAATTTTTTTTTTTTTTTTTTTTTTCAGAACCGGGGATTGAACTCAGACCTTTGTGCTTGCCAGGGAAGCACTTATGCCACTAAGCCATCTCCCTGGCCCCCAAATACATAAATTAAAAACAAAAATAAAAAAGCCTATGGTGCTAAATAAGTCATAAAACATATCTATTCACACTGAGAGCTAAAACAGGAAGGCACAGCATTGCCCTCACCTACTTACCTGGAACATGCACACTAGGTAACTAAAATTTTGTATTATTCTGCAAATCTCTGCCAAAGTAATACAGTGAGAAACAATGCAGCTGAGTGAGTCACTCCTTTCTCTCCACTTAACTCTAAATAGACTTAATGGCTATTCCTGTTTCCACTGCCCTAGACTAACAAAAGCCTATGACAGTAGTGGTGAACCTACGTATGGTATGAGTGCCATGGTGGGATGTTTGTATTAAAGGATTTACGCATCATTGGTAGGATATCTCCAATTCTCTACGTGAGAACACAGGCAATTTTGATAAAATGACTTGCCATTGTCTTTTGGGCTGGTTTTGGAATGCTGAAATTCCACTTCCTTTGGCTCAATGAGGCTCACAGAGCAGGATAAAGTCGGCTGGGGACAATACACAGAAACTAGCACTCAAGTGTAGGGATGAGTCTTGTTTCCTTTACGATGTTAAACTTGCCCATTCAACCACTACTTCTCTGCTCTTCCAGGAAAGAAAGCACTGTACCTCCGCTGCACAGGTTAAATGAAATGGCCAGCTGGAGATTCTGGGTCTTTTTCTCCAGAGGACATGGATCATCCTGGAGCCCTGCTGCCTACCTCTTGCTCTTTCTACCCATTGCAAATTAACTCTGGATGGGAGATCAGAGTCCACTGCAGGGGTTTCCAATAAAGTACCATGGGAGATTCAGTGAGAGGTACATAAGGCACATAAGGCAGAAGTGTCTAGCCTTTAAATTTTGAAAGCCTGAAGGACTGGCCTCCTTTTGCTATAGCTACCTTTGACCTGTGTGCAGTGTTTTTCTGTTTCCCTGGTACTTTTCCTGGTCTATTATACCTCTGCCTGAATGAACCAGCCCTAAGCAAAACCTCCTGTGATCTTAAATGTAGCTGCTTGTTACTTATGACTGAGTACACACTTGGCCAATACCTTCCCCATCATACACAAGAACCTGGACTGTTACTGGGCCAATCAACTGTAACAAAAGTATCATAAGTATTGATTAAATATTATAAATATAATGAAGATTGACTGTACTTACAAAGTTATATCAGTTAAATTTTTTTGGTAGTCACAGAGGCTTGAATCCAGGCCCTTGTGCATGTTAAGCAAGCACACTAAGACTGAGTTATAATCCCAGCCCCTTCTGTGGATTTTTTGAAGGTCTGGAAAGATAATATAAAAGTCCTGATATTAGCTGGGCATGGTGGTACACATCTGTAATCCTTGGGAGGTTGAGCCAGAAAAACTGTTGCTACTGAAGTCTTTTGGGCTACATAGTGAGTTCAATGGTACAATGAATTACATGAGGAGACACTCTCAAAAAAGTCTTGTATTTAGGTAACAAATCATAAGGAGAGAGAGAGAGACACTGAACAAAGAGCTAGGGAGCTTGGTTTTATTTTATTTTTAAAATTTTTTTTAAAATTTTGTTTGTGTATGTGTGTGGCCAGCTCAGCCCACCAGGGGGCGGGGCTGGCTGGTATGTGGTGCTGGGGGATTGAACCGCAGTCCCTGTGCTTTGCTAAACTTGCTCTAAGTAGGTGCTTTAGACCACTGAGCCATCTCACCAGCCCGGGAGCTTGGTTCTAATGCTTCTGTTGTTAGGTCAGATAAATCGACCTCCTCTACCTAAGGAGTACACTGAATTGTACACTGGGGAAAAAAAAAAAAAAATCCAGTGAACAGTATTTACTAAACACCAAGTACTAGGTTACTCTGATTTGACCTGTAAAATATGCTGGTATCCCAGACTCAGCAACAGGCAAATCTACAATTATAAATGTCCTGAGGTTGCTCAGTGTTATATCCCTGGTCATTCTGAGAGATATTACCTCATATCTACTAATTACGCCAATTGTTAGAAACTTAAATTTGACTCTAATCTTTCAGTTCTAGAAAGATGTTAAGTTTTCTTCTAGTCAACAGGTAGGGCCTATAGCCTTTTATGTTTATATTGAAGAAGGATCTCAATTAATGAAAATTACAGTAACAAAAGCTCCACCTGTTAAAAACATGCTGTATGTAACACATGCTTTCCTTGTCAAATCTTATTTCATCCTAACATAACACGTAGGACTTTTAATCTCTCCTATTTTACAGAAGCAGAAACTGAGCCTGGGAAACTCCATAATCTGGCAAATGACACAGATCCTAGAGTTCTCAAGTCAGAATTCAAACAGATTGATCTGATGCCAAAGCCTATGTTACTTACATCATCATGCATTAGTAATGACCTATGGTGACATACCTAAGATGGACACCATTTCATCCTGGTTTTACAAACAAGGAAACTCAAAGAATAATGAAATATTGTGCTCAAAATTATTCAGCTAGGGCCAGGGGATAGCTTAGTGGCATAAGCATCTGTCTGGCAAGTGCAAGGTCCCAAGCTTGATCCCTGATACTCCCAAACAAACAAACCAAAAAAAAAAAAAAAAGGCAGCTAAGCTTTCGTATCTCCTGAAATTTATGGATTAAGAGCTCAAAGATTCTGAAAAGTTATAAAGAAAAGATGGAAGAGGGCTTTGTAGGACAAAAAACCAATATACTCACACATACATCAAACAAAGTTACAATACACTTTCCTTGCCAAGGAATAATACAAGTTCATTACTATGTCAGTCAAATAATATGATTGAAGTGCTATGGAAAGACTGATATTGTACTGACAGGAGTGTCCTGAAGTCTTTGTCAAAGCCATATGCCTTTGTTTCCTTTTTTATCTTTTTTCTCCTCTCCTTTAAGTTGTGGGTATCAATTATATTTCCCCAAAGACTAGGACCAAAGGAGCATGCAAATGCTTCAAACACGAGCCTTTGTGTATCTTATATATTGCCGAGTTCCAGAGTTTTTGCTAGCAAAGGGCAAGTTTCATGTTAAGTGTCTGTTGAGTGATATATCAAGCAAAAAAAGGGCTTCAATCCAAATGAAAATAAAAGCTAATTACCTTTCCAGCTTCCCTTTTCCAGATAAATTAGTGTGTTGTTGTATTTCTCACACCATACCATGGATGGAAGAATGTTGTTCTAGCATTCATTCCCACTATATGATATTACTGCTACAATCCCAGCACTTGGGATGTTACCATGTCTTACAGCACTTGTCTCCTTCTAGAGATGGATTCTAGGTTCTTTTTGTCCTATTCAAAGAATGGGTCAAGACAAGTGCAAAATGTAGCAAGGTTTCATGTTTATAAAAGGTAGGAAAAGAAATATGCTCTGCAGAGAGTTTGGGCCAATTAATAGTAGGAAAAGAAGTGTGCTCTCCAGGGTACGTAACAAGGCTTAACAGTAGAAGCTGTCTTATTGTGGTGTTTTATTGGTAGAACAAAGATAACAAAATAGGGAATAACCAACCATCTTTATACTCCTCAATGTAGATGAAAGAGACAAAGAGCCTGGGATTAAATTTGCTAATTCTACAGAATACTTGAGTACTTTTGAATTCAAAATTTTATTTCCACAAGGGAGAACAAATACGGGAAAGTAAAGGAGAAGGTACTCTTTTCTAGGATTCTGTCCAATTATTTACATAAAGACCAAACAATGAACAGAATAAATGTATAAACACAAATTTTGACCTACAGTCTTTGTTGGTATCCTGGTGGATTGTCCAAGGTGCCCCAGATACCAAAATATACACATGCTCAAATCTCTTATATAAAATGGTGTGGTATTTGTGTAGAACCAACAACATCCTCCTTATATTTTAACTCATCTCTAGATAACTTGTAAAACCTAATACAGTACAAATGCTATGTAAATAGTTCGCTATGCTTCTCTTAGGGAATAATAGTAAGGAAAAAGACTTCTACAAATGTTCAATATAACACTGATCATAAGACTAACTGTATAGCACAAGACACCAGGCAAACAACGCAAGAGTGTTGAGGAAACTGAGGATATATAAAATAACGGGAAGTAAAAGCATGATATAGCTACAACTTTACTTCCCTCATATGCCTGAGTGTGACAATTTCAAGTTTTACTTTTCGAAATTTCTTGGAAAATTATTTCCCAGTATTTTCAATCCTAGTTTGGGTGAATCTACAAATGGGGAGCCCAAAGATACAGAGGGCCAACTTATATTAGTGACCAACATCTTGGCTTACATATTACTATTAAATTTTAATATTAATATTAGAATAGCACTTTTCTAAAATAAGAATCTCTGAGTTAGAGCTTAGACACTGGAAAATTCTGAAAACTTGTGAACTGATTCTTGTCAAAGCTAGGAGCTAATACCTGATCGGTTGTTTCTTACCATAATAACTAACCCAGAAGACTGGGCATGTTGGCACATGCCTGTACTCCCAATGCTGGGGAGGATAAAAACAGGAGAATCACTATGAGTCCGAGCTATATATCAAAACCCTGTATCAAATACATAAAGAAAAAAGAAAAGAAAAAAACTAACTCAGAGACTTATTGTAAGGCTAATCAATGACTCCTCAAGGGTTCTCCCTAATAAAGATGACAAAAATCCCAGTAGAGAAATACCAGCTAGTAATTTCAATAGAAACACCATGCAGAGCCAGGCAGGGCCTCATTGTTCTTTCAAGGTACGTTAAAAAGCACTACTTTCATCTACAATATAAACGGTCACTTTCAACCAGTCATAAAATGCTAACATGAAAGCACAAATTGAAGGATTACACAAACACACAACATAGAAAAAAGGACACTGTGTATTAATGAAATAGAAAAATTCATAGATCCTTGTCACCAATATAGATCTTCAGATCTCTATTTGAGAAATAATGGGGCCCAGCCTATTTTTCAACCTCACAGCATTATAGCAAAGATCCCCTTCAAGCTTGACCTTTATGTGTACCTCTGCCAAATATGTTGTGCTTTACACATTGTTACTCCTACCTATCAACTGTCTACTCAACTGGTTACCATTAGCTTGTTACATTCTTCAAGAACAGATATAATCACTTCAACCATATTATTGCTACTGTCTTAAAGAATCACGTATTATGGAAACTTCAAGTATCATTTCTCTGCAATGTGGAGAAGCTATAATTAATCTACCTTATATACCTTAGCATGTTCCTCTAGTATTAATTCAGCTGAAGTTAGACTGTCACAAAAAAGTAAAAACATTTTATTATTATAATCAGAATAAATTGGCCCAATTATTTTTACCACCATACTATAAAATGACAACTTAGCAATTTAATTAATCAATACTTACTGTCATTTTGGTTCGGGATGTCTGACAGCCCTGATCTAAAAAAAAAAATTAAAATTGAAATTAAAGACAAACATCACTTCAAAATTTCCTAACCTTTCTCATCAAATGACTGAGTTTTAAAGACAGTGAAGAAAAGAGTTCACATTATTTTAAGAAAAAACACAAGTTTGAAATTAAAGTATGGAAATACAGAGCTAAATTTGTAGAATTAACTCATTTCTCATTTTGCCTCTTCAGACATATACTGCTTTGGGGGACATACTATATTCTTAGACTTTTCTCTTACGTAAAACAAAAAGTCACAGCATCCAGTAACTCTGTTACTCAATCCAGCCAACCCTAAGAATTTACAATTTGCTAGATATGGTTTTCATTAAAAAATGCAGATCTGACATGGAGTAGATGATCATTCTTTTTACATTTTTTGTTGTAATTCTATTTAGCTTCTCTTGAGCCCAAATGCATTCTGATTGCTCCCAATTAGCATTGAATTTTTCAAAGGAATAAAATAAAATGCAATGCATCTAACAGAAATATCACATGGAAAACTGTGATATGGAAAAACTTAATAGAATTTAAGTTGGTATTATCCTCAAAATTAAATTTGCATCATCAAGCCTTTAGATTCAAAGCTAAGAAAATACAGCTTGCTAAACAGTATTTTTGAATTGTCACTTAAATTGTTACATACCATAATGTAAATTTTCAGGTCCTTTTTGAGTTGTCAGATTCGGCTCATTTTGCTGACAATAGAAACGTAATAAGCAGTGCTGATCACAGAAATGTTTCATCTCCCCACGCCACTGTACTCGCTCTTTAAGAGTTCCTTGAGACTTACAACAATCACACCTTGCAGCCTTAACAAAAAAAAAAAAAAAAAAGAGGGGACCAGGCATTTAAAATCAAAATTAAAATATCACATATGTCCAAGTTTTTAAAGATATTTGAAAGTTTATCAGTGATAACACCTAAATGTGATAAAATGAGTCACATATGAATAGTAAAATCAATAACAAAGTGGAATAAATCAAGAGTAATTTTTCTTTTTTTATTAAAGACTTTTCTTATTTATTTGTGTGTGTGTGTGTGTGTGTGTGTGTGTGGCCAGCTCAGCCCACCAGGGGGCGAGGCTGGCTGGCATGTGGTGCTGGGGGGATTGAACCGTGGTCCTTGTGCTTTGCTAAGCTTGTTCTAAGTAGGTGCTTTAGACCACTGAGCCATCTCACCAGCCCTTCTTTTTTTTTTTTTTAAGAGTAATTTTTCTAATCGATAAAGTATACTTGCCAGAATTCAAAGACTAGTGTTACAAAGACAGGATAATGAAATAAACATTGGGAGATCAAACTGACATTTCTAAGTAATTTTGAGGGCCCTACTAATATAATGATATGTTTCCTACATATATAAAGATACCAATCTCAGAGTAAACAGATATAGTAAATAAAATGGGGTTGCCAAATCTGTCATCACTAAACATCTTTACTATTTTAAGATTATCCAATAACAATTTCTCAAAAATAAAACCTCATCTTTGCAGTGCTACAAAACAACCACCACCAAATAAATAAAATTTCCTGAGCTGAACATATAACTCTCAGTGGTAGAGAGCTTGCCCCAGGTGTAAAGGGGCCTGGACTTGATCTTTTTTTTTTTTTTTTTTAATTTTTTTTTTTTAATTTATTTGAGAGCAAGAGACAGAGAGACAGAGAGAGAGAGTGAGTGTATGTGGTGTGTGTGTGGCCAGCTCAGCCCACCAGGGGGCGGGGCTGGCTGGCATGTGGTGCTGGAGGACGAACCGCGGTCCCTGATGCTTTGCTAAGCTTGTTCTAAGTAGGTGCTTTAGACCACTGAGCCATCTCTCCAGACTTGATCTTTAACATCGCTAAATAAATACTGCTTAAAAGGAGAAGGTTTCATTTGTGTGTGTTGAACTGAAATAAAACATTTAAAAGTATGAGTTACATTTTCTGAGTACTTTCTCTCAAAAAACACTTGTCTGTAACAGAATATTTATTTAAATTAATGAATCCATGTGAGAGCATGTTAATATGTTCATGCCGTGTACTCCCACAATCTGGATCTTGAAAATGTATTCAGAAACAAAAGTAAAATAACAAAGACAGTTGTGCTTCCAAACTGTTTGCCACAATTAGTTTACATACCTCTGCCAAAGAGCAAAGTAATCTCCCTCTTTTATTTATAAAAGTTAAAACTTTGAGTTGTGTAAAAAAAAACAAAAAAAATCACACCAAGAATTCTAACTCTCATAATCATTCAAACACATTCAAAATGTGATTTAAATAGTATTTGAACCATTTTACTGATTGTTTCTTTAAGAAGGATGTTACAATTTTGAAGTAATAGTTGTCTTCACACACTTCAGAACTGTATTCATAATTAAACATTAGCACTGATATGGTTTCTTCTATTATCAACAGAGAAATTAATAATATCCTGTTTGCTATATAAATATCCAAAGTCCAAATTTACACTCATTTTTCATATATATGTATCAGAGCCAAAAGGGATTTATTTTGACCGTTAGAAATTGTTTTGTTTTGTTTTGGCGGAACCAGGGATTGAACTCAGGCCCTTGCGCTTGACAGGAAAGCGCTTATTCCACTGAGGCATCTCCCCGGCCCCCTAGAAACAGTTTTGGATGAGACACTTTTTTTTTTGCAGAACTGGGGATTGACCTCAGGCCCCTGCATTTGCCAGGCAAGTGCTTATTCCACTGAGCCATCTCCCCGGCCCCCAAGACAGAGTTTTTATTCTCTCAAATTAAATGGTTTTGACCCTTAAGTGTCTTTTCTTTTTTCTTTTTTTTTTGGGGGGCGGGGGGTGGCTGGGGATTGAACTCAGGCCCTTGCGCTTGCCAGGCCAGCGCTTATTCTACCGAGCCATCTCCCCGGCCCCTTGTCTTTTCAATATGGAAGTCTCCAATAATCTATAATAAAGAAAGTAAAAAAAACAAAAACAAAAACACACACAACTTGTTTTAAAAAGACATTACTACTCAAAACTATTGCTTAACACTAATAATGGAGTCATCAAAAATATTTCAATCTAATGAAATAAAATAGAACAAAGTTTAGAGACATAATGCATTCTGTGAAACTGTATATAATGTAATGCCTAAGCTATAAAGAAAAAAGCCAAAAAAAAAAAAAAAAAAGCTCTACTTCAAGTTACAGAGAACTGCAAAATACTTTTAATGAACAGTGGGATCTGAGCTAGGTTTCAAGTGTGTACCTTTTAAAAATAAGCAAGTCAGGGGCTGGAGAGATGTATCAGTGGTCTAAAGCACCTACTTGAAACAAGCTTGGCAAAGCACAGGGACCTCGGTTCGATCCCCCAGCACCACATGCCAGCCAGCCCCGCCCCCTGGTGGGCTGAGCTGGCCACACACACACACACTAAATAAATGTAATAAATAAAAATAAATATTTTAAAAAATAAAAATAAGCAAGTCATATACTTGCTAAGACTCTTCAAGGTAGTTGCTACAATCAAAATTTGGAGGCCTGGCCAGATAGCTCAGTGGATTAAAGCACCTGTTCAGGTTTACACAGGGGCCAGCGGTTTAATCCCTGGCCCTCCGTGCCGGCCCTGCTCTTGGGGTGTGCCAAGAGAGATTGAGACTGGGCCTGGTGGCTGAAAAACAGGAGGATCACTACAAGTCTGATCTGTGCAGTGAGACCCTGTAGACCCTGTACTGAATACATAATAAAAGAAAAAAAAAAAAATTGGAGTAACTTGCCTTATAGTACCAATCCTGAAATTTTTTGCCACAGTCTTCACTGCAGAAATCTCTCACAACACCATCAAGTTCTTTAGTTGCTCCTTTCTTACAGAGCTGAGAACAATAGTTGCATGTAACACATCTTAATCCCAAACGTCTTGCAAAATCCTGTTTGTACAATAGTTTGCAACCTAAAAAAAGACAAGGTTAAACCAAAAAAATTCTGAGCTAAGAAAGCTTCTAACAGATTATTAGTTTTTTAAAGTGTCTAATAAAATTACAGAAAAAGTCCTCTTTTTCTTCTAAACAAAATTCTGAAATCTACTGTAGATCAACACTAACCTATAAAAACAGACACAGAATATAAACAGTATTAAGAAAAAAAACACCTCACACTTGTTGGTCTGAATAAGCAATGCTTTAAAAGATAGTAAAATCTAGGGCTGGCCAAATAGTTCAGCAGATTAAAGTGCTTGCTTAGACAGACACAGGGACTGGGAGTTCAATCCCAGAGTCTGCTGTGCTGGCCCCATCCCCAGGGCACGCTGAGAGGTGACTGAGATTGGGTGTTGTGGTGCTTGCCTGTAATCCCAGCACTTGGGAGGCTGTAAATAGGAGGATCACTAGGAGTCTGATCTATGTAGTGAGACCTGTAGACCCTGTCCTAAATAAAAAAATAAAAAAAAAAAATTAAAAAGACAGTAAAATCTAGTACTATCTCAGAACCATGGTATTCTATTTGCTGTTTAAGCAGTATCTTAGTTATCTGAGTAAGCACACTCCTAATACCAATTTTAGAGAAATAGATAATATTAATGGCTGAGAGGCTCTGGTAAATTCAGATATTGGTCAACTAAGTGGGTATTTTAGTCAGTTTTCTAGCTTACCTCTTTCTGCCTCATGCTATGTGGATTTTTTTCCAGAAGTAAAACTGGTTTACTGATTTATCTAGTGAATATACTTTTTATAAATTCCCTTAGTAAAACACTTGTTTCCTACTATATTAGTTTATCATTTTAAATGTTTAATTTACCTAATACATTCCACATAATGTCTCTGAGGATTAATCTTCCTTAATTTTACTTATGGTACACCTTGTTAAGTAGAATGACCTACCTTCTACTTAGATACAACTTCTGAAATTCTATTCATCCTTTAATAGTAAGTCCAAATTATACCTCTATCACTAACTCTGTCCTCATAACCTAGTTTTAAATGATCATTCCTAAATATAAACACGAACTCCATCATTTACATCAATTGTTTTTAACAATTCCATCATTTAGTGTACTATATTGCTCATGTGCTATAGACTTTTTTGTTATCTTTATACTTAAAACTTTTTTGAACAATTTTACCTCTATTATCTTTAACTAGATTTTGATACTAATACTAGGTATATGTTTTGTTATTTCTGACAGGTTCCAGTAAAAAAAATTAGGTGGAATAAGAGAAAAGTAAATTATATGTAGTCAGGTAAAAATGTACAGCCTTCTAAACTTTTTATTATTCATCTCAATGTTTAACACTTTAAATAAAAATGATGTTAAATGTCAGTTATCTATTTGCTGCTCTCTATTTATGTTAGTAAAAGCTACATAGAAAGCTAAGTGGTTCAGATTACTAACATGAACAATTACATCAATGTTTTCACTATGAAATCAATATGACTTTCTGTACAAAAACTCAGGTGTAAAAAGCAAATCAGAATTACTCTTTCACATTTTAGAATTTATTATTTTCATAACAAGTTTCTTCTCAACAATATAACAATGCTTACCTCTCATTGTAGTTCAAATATATGCATTTATTCTACATAGGAAAGCCTTGGCTAATGAGCTGCACTTTCTTACATACAGAATGTTACTACATTATATGTGAAAAGTATAAATACAGGTGTTACTTAAATGGACTGATAAATATTTTAATATTGTCATTTTTGAATGCCAGCATTTAGGATTTCCCAACTATCTCTTTTCCCAAACTAAAGAGAGAAATCCATAGGAAAAAACCCAGAACTGGGTGAAAACAAAAAACGAAACCAAAGCAAACCATTGGAAAATAAGGGAAGAAAACAGATAAGAAAGCTGAGAGCTCTTAGGTCAAAGAAAGAAGAGAATATGAAAGTCAGCTCAAAGCAAGAATGTGATACTGTACCCAGTCCTGCATGCCCAACAGCCCTACCCCCGGGTGTGCTGAGCCGAGGCCAGGCATGGTGGTGCACGCCTGTAATCCCAGTGCTGCGGACACTGAAGACAAGATCACTATAGAGTCTGAGCTGTGTAGTGAGACCCTGTACCAAGTACATAAATAGAAAAAGAAAAGAAAATGTGAAAGAATGTGACACTGTGGAATACTAACGATGACAAGAGCCCCAAAACCATAAAAGCTATAATTTTATTTACTAAACCTAGAGATAGATCTAGAACAGTATCCATTTCTCTAATTTGCCATGTGACAGCACAACAGCATAAAGCACTGAATAAGGAAAAGGGAAATTCTTGAATTTCCTTCCTCATATCCAGTTTTTCCAGACATACCACATTTATAGCCTAAATTTTCCTACTGTATGACTGTCATATGAAATGCTTGGGACCAGAAGAGTTTCAGATTTTGGAGCAGCTATATAGACCAATTATTTATTTATTCATTTTTTATTTATTTATCTATTTATCTATATTTTAGGAAAGGGTCTACAGGGTGTTCCAGGTCTTACTACTAGATAGTTCTCATAGTGATCCACCTATTCACAGCCTCCCAAGAGCTGGGATTATAGTCACGTACCACATGCTGCAGGGGCAGGCCCAGGGAACCCCCAGCCCCTGCGCCTGCTTGCAGGCACTTAAATCTGCTGAACTATTTGCCAGCCCATAGACCATTTAATGACTGAATTTCCCTCATCTGAAAAAATCTAAAATCAGAAACACTTCAAAATATTGGCTCTCAGAAAATCTGGATTTCACATTTTCAGATTGGAGTGTTTAACCTAAATACTCAAAACCTTTGCAGGATAGGCAGTAAACCAATCTGGGGAAAAAAAATCAAGCTAATGTAAAACAAGTCTAACCCATTTAGAAAATCTACATTCAGTCTACAATGTAATTCTAGGTGGCATAGTATGATGACACTTTTATTCTCAAAATTTCCTAAAAATGAAAAAAGTTGTTACCAAATTCTTCAGCAGGCACTTAAACAACTGAGCTAATGGTCAGGCCCCCAGTTGTTACCAAAAACTTTTGAGATCCAGAGGTTTACAAATACATACAAAATGGCAAAGAAATCAGTAGAAAAGTGAATTCAATATTGGTCAGCTATATTAAAAATTATGTAAAAAGTAAATAAATAAAAATAATGTAGCTACTCGTATTTTAAAAATATTTTGGAAAAAACATTAAATATCAATAAAAAGTTATGAGCATTGTATATACACTTGCCTTCACTGCAGAAAGGTCTCTTAACTCCAGAGAAATTTACTGTTTCATGAAGAGTCTTCTCCTCTTGACAGTATTCGCAATATGTAACTATGCAATGCAGCTTCTTATAGTCATCTGAACAAGTTTTGCTGCAGAACTGATGTACTTTGTTCTAAATGCACAATGGGAACCTTGGTAAGTATTTGACAAGCACCTTAAGAACAAGTTTAAGAAACAAAACACTTTTACAGACATAAATTTACCAATTTAACATCAGGATCGTGGGGGATGCTTTTACGATAGACCACAGACACCTAATTTAATCAGTTCACTGCTAAGTTTTATAAACACAGTTCCTCAGAATTCAACAACCATTAAACACCCTAAATTGCTTAGTGATGAGTGAAAGTATCACTAAAGTAAGAAAGTAGTCTGGTATTACTAACAAAGTTGCTGAAACAGCAAAGAAACAATGGAAGATATGACACGAATAAACTTCACAAAGATGAAGATTATAATACTAATAACCTCTCCAGTTAAAAATAGTCTGTTGGGCTGGGGAGATAGCTCAGCAGAATAAGCGCTTGCCAGACAAGCACAAAGGCCTGAGTTCAATTCCCAGTTCTGCCAAAAAAACAAAACAAAAATAGTCTGTTGAGTGCAGGCCAAGGAGAATCAATCATATAAAGATCACAGCTAGATATTAACTTTAAAGGTATCACACACTATGATTAGAAACTTGAGACTGAGTTGGTAAACTTCCAAGGCTGCTCCACTTCCCTGATACTGAGGAAAGACACAGACTAAATTTAAATCATTTACCTAATGCTTATCAGACATAAAAATCAAAATAAGGAAGGTGAAAGACAATCAACTCAGTAGTTAATACAATCATCAGCTGAAATTGACCCAATGAGTATATAACTTGTAAGAGGGGGGAAAAGGCAACAAAGAAACTACAACTGTCATCCATGCAGTAAGAAGCAAGAGGCCCCTGAACATTTTCCTGAGGTTCAAGACAAGTTCAACTCAGAATAGTCCCTAACTACTTACAACACTTAACCACTTAGCAACCAACTGAGACTATAAAAGTGGAGTAACACTGACTCCAACATGTGGAAAGATGAAAACTCATTTTCATATAGTTTTATTAAAATTCAGTTTGTACCTTTTTAAAAAATGAATTTTAGTACAGGGCCTAAAGGGTCTCACTACACAAATCAGACTTATACTGATCTTCCTGTTTTTAGCCTCCCAAGCACTGGGATTACAGGCACATGCCACCAAGCCCAAATTTGTACAATCTTAATTTTCTGTATTGGATTATTTTATATGCTTTGTATATGCTTCTTTCCTCCTTCATTCCAATTTCGAGCCTTTATTCACTATTCTTGGGCCTTCATCTTTATTGTTACTTAAAGAAAATATTAAATCACCAAAAATCATCATTGAATACCAGCAACAGTTTCAAAGCAAAGAAATAAAAATTTAAAAGCTCTAAAGATGATACCAAATGAAATAATAAACTTTACTTTCCAGCCAATAAGATGATAAAGTTTCAGAAGTATTTTGGAAATCATGTGGTTCACTTTAGGGACGCACTTTTCATCTAAGGACTCAGGTACTGAGTGAGGTGGCAATAATCAGCAATAAAGTTTTGCTTAAAAGTAATCTGAGTTCTACATCTTGTATACTATTTAATCATACACTCCATGCTCCACCTTCCATACCATCCTGCCTGCACAAAAGTGAAAAGAAAGAATAACTAAACAGGAACATTACTCAAGAAAACAATGGCAGCAGGGCCTCCTCATCTACCACCTTACGGAAACAGAAGTATACTGCTCAGAGTTGCTAAGAGTAAAAGGACATGGCAAAATAAATTAGTAATCTAGTAAAGGTAAGAAAGTAAACTAAATATATTAGGATTCATAATCTTCTACTACTTTACTGAAACAAAATTATAAAATGTTAAATAACAATGTGGCATACTAACAAATTTTAATTTCTACAGATACTGAATGACACAAAGATATTATAGGACACATCAATAAAGACAGAAAAATGGAAAATAATGTATAGCCACTTCAGGTATGTGGCTAAACAAAATCATATTCTGTGCTCTATTAGGAATGTACTACATTATTGTGACTGTGGCTTCAAGAATTTCTTGTGAACCTCAAAGGAAACAGACCCTGTTCTACTCTTTCCTTAAGTAAATAAGCCAACTTTAAGGATTTTTTTTTTTTCTCCTCAAATGCCTTCAGGGCACTTTCGGCAGGGTGGAGTGTTGTGAGGATCGAACTACAGCAACCTGAGGCTGACAGCATTGTGGAAGCAACTACTTAAAGGACTGATCTAGAGCCAGGCCCCCATATAAGCCAACTTTAAATTACACTTTTCTACCAAGAAATAGGTTTCCAGGAGCTGGTGAGATGGCTCAGTGGTCTAAAGCACCTACTTAGAACAAGCTTAGCAAAGCACAGGGACCATGGTTCAATCCCCCAGCACCACATGCCAGGCAGCCCCGCCCCCTGATGGGCTGAGCTGGCCACACACACACACACACACACACACACACACACACACACACACACAAATTTAAAAAAAAAAAGGAAGAAAGAAATAGGTTTCCAGATGGAAATACCACTGTTTGTAAACTAGATTTTCGTTTTAGCACTAGGTAATACATATTAGGAAATATGACTTGCCTCCCATTCCAGGATTTCTGGTTTAGAACAAAAGGAATTTTTGCAGTAGTTGCATTTCAACTGAATATCACTTGGTGCTACAAATGGACCATTTGGAGATGACTGCATGCTTAGAGCCTAAAATAAAGAACAGAATATATTGAGCCTGACGGGTACTTCAGAATTTCTATTTGTAACTACTCTAAAATTCCTACTATGAATGGAAACTAGAAAAATTCCTTATTACAGAAACTGCACATACCTTTGTTAATATTTTTTCAACTAAAAACTTAAGAATTTTGTTCATAAAAATTATACTAATACACAATTAGTTTTATAAAACTGAAATTCACTTCGTCATTTTAATCAAAGGAATTTTATTTATCTAAAATAAGAAAGCACAGGGCTGGAGATATACATATAGTTCAGCAGCTCAGAGCCTGCCTGGCAAACCAAGATTCTGAGTTTCATTCTCAGTATCCCCCCCCCAAAAAAAAATTATAGAGAAAAAAAAAATTGCAGCAAAATTACGGGTTTTTTTCACTAGAAAAATATAATCAAATAATGGTGTCAGCTTGCCAAAGTCCTGAATTAGCAAACAGAAATCAAAAAATAAACATAAAACCTAGGTCCTGCTGTTTCCTCCAATAATTATCAAATAGATATCCAATGATTTGTCTTACCACATCATTGCTCTAATTTTTTCTTTTTTTTCTTTTTGGTGGGAACCGGGGATTGAACTCGGGCCCTTCGGCTTGCCAGGCACACGCTAATTCCACTGAGCTATCTCCCCGGGCCCCTTGCTCTAATTTTCATTCCAAGTTCATCAATGAAAAAAATCCTATCACTTTAAAAAATTATCTCTTATTTGAGGGTAGAAACAATATTTATAGCTCAATATTCATGCCAGGAATTTATTGTTAATTTTATTACATTTTTAAAAGCTAAAATAATATACAAAGACAGGATCTAAGCATACTTGGACCTGAAAAGGTTTTCTCTCTAATTCTTATTACAAATGACAAGTACACCAGTATTTATCATTCTTTATAACTATATATAATGTACAACATATTTGCAAAAAACAAAAATATGCAGATTTAAGACATTTATTATCAGGTTAAAAAAAATGTTAAACATAAAAACATTACCCTTAGAGCTTCCAAAATATTGACTGTGAATAAAGTTAACTATTTATTTACAACAATGTATTATATTACAGTTTGAATGTTTGTGTACCCCAGAATTCATAAATTGAAATCCTAATCCCAAAGGTGACGATATTAAGATACAGGGTCTTTGGGACACCCACCTGATCTACTTGATGCAGTTATTAAAAAAAAAAAAAAGAAGTCTAATGGAGTTTACTTGTCCCTCCTAATAGTTAGGAGCAGGCACCACATATAAGGAAAGGGCCTTATCAAGGCACAAGCCTGCTGAAGTCTCTATCCTGTATTTCCTAGCCTCCAGAACTATGAAGTATAAAATTCTGTTGTATAGAAGGCAAACCTGCCCATTCTAAAGTATTCTGTGACAGCAGCTGAAACAGACAACCAATAAAATACTCTTTTTTTTTTTTGCGGAACCAGGGATTGAACTCAGGCCCGTGAGCTTGCCAGGCAAGCGCTTATTCTACTGAGCCATCTCCCCGGCCCAATAAAATACTCTTACTTTCAAAATGAAGAAATAATAATAATAATAATAATACAATAAAAAGTTCAAAATATATGATCTGCTTTAAAACAAAAAACTGTTGCCTGTTTGTCAATTTTGTTTCATATGCAGGCAGTGATGAGGCTAACTGCAGGCTTCTCTGGATGGATTCCTCAAATCCAAGAGCCTAAATTAAGTAGTATTTCTTTAAAATATATAATGTAGGCAGGGGCTTCATCAAATAAAAGAGTATCACAAATTTCAATGAAATGAAAAGGGTAAAAAATTTTCAATAATTACCAGTTCAGTACCCAACTAAATTAAGAAAGAGGGGATCTGCCAAAAGAAAAAAAAGAAAGAAAGAATAGAGTTTAACATTTGGGGGCCAGGGAGATAGATCAGTGGTCTAAGCACCTGCCTGACTACCACAAGGACCTGGGTTCTATCCCGGGTACCGCACGGTGCTGACCCCGCCCCAGGCCCACCAAGTCAGCCACTGAAACCAGGCATGGTGGTGCATGCCTGTAATCCCATTGCTGGGGAGGCTGAAACAGGATTACTACGAGTATGAGATGCGTAGTAACACCCTGTACAATAGACATTAATTAATAATAAATAAAAAATTGGGAAGAAGCATATCATTGACACTGTACTCCTTTCAAAATATCATTCCTTAACTTCTAGTTTAAGAAAATCCAACAAGGCAGAAACAAAATTTACCAGTAAGAGGATCTCAACTTCTAAAGTAAAAATTTAGTTTTGAATGTGGTTTATCTTCTAAGTTCACTGAGGATATAACTTAACAAAAACAATATTCACTTGCCTAAATTCAAAACAACCTAAATTTAAATGCTGTAACGGTTGTAAAACTACTGTAACATACTTAAACTATATTTTCAGTTTAAATAAATTAACATAAAGCACAGTACCTGGAACAAAGTAGAACTGTTGGATGAATTAACTCATGAAGCATGGCTTTATGCACACTTGGTTTGAATCTTTGGGCAATACCCTGAAATTTTCACACACAACAGGTAAACCTACTAGTACTACCTAACTAATGCTTGAATCCCCTCTAAACTATTCCTTCCTAGTGGTCAACCAGGTTATCTTTGAACACTTCAGTAACACTACCTTCTAAGAGTAACCACACTCCAACTTTGAAGAACTATGCCAGAAAAGTTCATTACATTTACCAAAATAAAAAATGTTGCCCTGAAAGTAATCCTATATTAAATTAGTCTCATGCCCTCCTTACAGGCTCATTTCTAAGTTTACTTAACATTTACAAGCTAAATATATTTCATTCATTATTCATAAAGAAGAGTTCACTATCATATTCACATTTTCTTCAAATCATCTAATAGGAAAATACTACGAATCAAGCAATGAGTTCAACTATATTAAAATTTATTTTCCCTCAAAATCTGTACCATAAAAACAATTCAAAAGCCAATCACATAATCTGTGCTAGAGAAGTAGAGAAGTAGTGAAGGCAGGTCTTCTGTGACTTACTCTAGAATCTCCACCCTCCAATGTGACCCTCCATTACACTATGTAAAAAATTAACAGATTTGACAAAGATAAAGCATATTACACTTGGAATGAGAGTTATGTAAAATAAACAACAAACCTGAAATTTAGCCACACAACTGGAATTGCAAAAATTATACAGTTTTCCATCAGGCATTGTGGCTTGGTATTGAGGTAAAGAGTTTCGCTTACAAAAATGGCAAATAATTCCCAAACCTAGGAGAGAAAAGGAACATATCTGATTTCTTTATAAAATAATAAAAGTTGTTTTATAAAATCTTACCTGACTGTTCAGATTTTATTTTATTTTATTTTTTTATTATTTATTTTGTGTGTGTGTGGCCAGCTCAGCCCACCAGGGGGTGGGGCTGGCTGGCATGTGGTGCTGAGGGATTGAACCGTGGTCCCTGTGCTTTGCTTAGCTTAGCTTGATTCTAAGTGGGTGCTTTAGACCACTGAGCCATCTCACCAGCCCTCAGATTTTTATTAAATGGAACTTTCTCTAAACTACTATTTCATTATCTGTACTTCAAATATTCAAGATACTGATACTGTAAAAAATACTATTGCTGGGTATGCACACCTGTAAATACCAGCACTGTGGGAGGGTGAAGCAGATGGATCGTATACAAGTGGGAGACCAACCTGCGCAACTTGGTGAGAACCTGTCTCAAAAACAAAACAAAAAAAGCGGGGTGGGGGAATGGAGGAACATGGTGGATATACTTGTGCAAAGCCCCTAATATCAGTCCCTGGTACTGTTTTTTAAAAAAGTTATCACAAAAGTCAACTCTAATAGTTTGTCTCTAAAAAACACACGTATACATAAAAAACTCTTGTTTTCAGTAAAATTTTGAATGGAACAATTTTTGCTAAGAACATACATGGAGAACACTTAAAACTCAGCAACTTGGGGCTGGAGAGATGGCTCAGTGGCCTAAGGCACCTACTTAGAACAAGCTTGGCAAAGCA